GGGGGGGGGGAATCATACGAATATTAGAGGGTTTTATGGAGGGGGACAACCAAAATCCTCCGACCATCCCCACTCCGAGATAAATTATATCCGGTCTCTAAACAATAAACAGTTCTACTGCTTCATGACACAAACTGAACCAAATTCCAAAGAAGCTCAAAACGTTTTTGAAGAATTTCTACCAAAAGTTACGAATGTATTGTAACCTTTTAGTTCATATAACGCCATAAAAGTTATCAAAATTATCATGACAAGAATAATAAATACGCTATTTTGTTTGCGGAACATTTTAAACGCAATTTGAAAATCTAAAAATATCTATGGGACAAGACCCATCAACACTTTTACTCCCACATGTGATTGACCTGTAATTTCTCCTCCCCGCCTCTAGACATTATCTAACGAACAGGTAATGAGAATCAGAGAAAAAAACACTTGTCCCCTAGAGGGTGTTGTCGTAATACATAATATCCTCTTCTAATTTACAAGGGAATTTTGTGTGGATAAAATGACGCATTATCAATCCAATCTCGGGAGCGAAAGTGTTATATTGAAATTTCTATGTTATCGTAATCTACCATTGGGTTTAACTCTTCCTATTTCTGATTTAGGATCTGGCGACCTTGAACTCCATAAAGTAGATTCACATTGTGGAATTTGTTCGCATCCGGGAATCTTTCCTTGAATTGTACAAGATGATTCTACTGTCCAAAAATATTCTGTAACATTATCTATCCAATCATGAAGCGGTGCCCCAGACTTCCTGGAATTTTCTGCGGCCCTCTTGGCTAGGGCTTCTGTGTTGTTTGCTTCTCGGTCGAACTCGATCAAGAAATCATTGGCGTTATAAATCCCGCCCGGTGGACCGCTGTTCGCGGCGACAGCTTCATCAGAGCTACTAGGTTGGCCTTTTGAGAATGACAAAGGAACCACTAAGAATTTCGTTTGTCCTATGACCATGTCCTCGCCTTTATGCGAGAAAATCATTTTAATTGTCCACTTTCCAGGCCGCATTGGTTTCTTGAAAGTAGGTTTGTGAAAAGAAACCACCCAGTTATCGACAACGCGCATTTCATAGATTCCTGTCACCACGTTAATAGGGTCCACCCACATAAGTTTTACATCAAATGCTTTGCCATGAACCCAGCGATGTACCAAGACGGGGTCGTCCCAGGGACCCATCAGACGAGCCATGTTGCGAAAGACCCTTTCTTTTTGGTCCCAACTGGTACCCACCTGAGAAGAGAGCAGGGGATGTTACCGAACAAGTATACAAAACTGATATATTTTAATATAACGTGGACGTTTGTCGTCCTAATGTCTTGATCAATTACTGTTGAAGCTTCAATAGTATATCACCTTTCCGCGCTATTACCCGCGCCTCTCTTGTCGCATGTTAATCAGCGCCGTATGCTGGTTGCAAGTTTTCACTAGCTTTGCACTCGATATCTGCTCTGGCTCTGCTCCCACGTTTTCCCACCCTTTTGTACTGGTTGCCCGCTCGCCCTTAAAGTTGAATGTGCGTTTTGGCCCCAAAAGTAAGTTTCTATCCGTACTCGATTTGCTTTTAATTATTTAAAATCTAGGATGTATTTCTCTTCGGTTTCACCCTTACGATAGTAACAGCAAAAAGGTGTTGGTAGAAAATACTTTGTTCTTACCTCAAGCCCCACAAGTCGCTGTGGTCCGTTACTCATGTTCAAATTTAAAAGCTCTTCATGACTCAACGGAGCAAGCCACGATTCTAACGTGACAATACGTTTACCGCCATCGTTTGTTAAATATTCAACATGATACAAAACTAATAACCCGCCAAACTGATCATGTTGATTCAGTAGCGTGATCTCCCGAATGTCTGTAATCTTTCCTCTCGGGCATTTCTGGCTTTTGGCGCCTTGCGAGGCAGCTACTTTTAAACTTTTCTCTCCTACTCTAGCAAAAGCATGGAAGAATGTTCTAAACACGTCGCTAGTTTTGGTGATGGAGTCTTCGTGATGGAAAAGATTCTCCCAGTAGTAGTTCAATCCTTGCATGTCGGCCGGATATGTGTCGTAAAGCCAAGAATCTAACTGGTTGATGACCTCCTGGTTCACGATGGCCTCGAATTTTCGTGCGAAAAAATTTGTTGACTTGCTCTATGACGAAATAAAATGAATTAAAATGAAAAGGTTGAGGTAATGATATTAATCAAAAAGAGAGTGTTTCGACCAAAACCAGAGTTATCACAACAACCACTCAGAAGAGAGAAGAATACTCTGAAGAACCAATGAGAACTCAGAGCAAAACCAAGCCCAAAGCGCGGGAAAACGCGGGTGGCCAAGTCATGACTGGCTTTAGTTTTGCACCTGATTGGTTGAGAGAGTGGCGCGAGTTTTTTTTTTAACCAATCACAGAGCGGAGTACAGCAAAACCTATGCATTCCCGAATAACTTTTGACACGCAGTTAAAAATTCTTCTATAGTAATTATCCTAGTAGTCCCGAACTGCAATGGCTTTGTTTCCGACGCTTTGTGATCGGGAGGAAAACTTCCGCTACTTAGTCAACCAATCTGACGCGAAACTTAATTCAATTGCAACTTGGTCACCCAAGATTTCCCGCGGTTCGAATAGTTTACTTCTTTATGATATTTTATTTGAGTTCTGATTGTTACAAACTGACAAAACGTAACAAAGGGAATTTCACACGGAGCCAAAGGGAACCTGGCGAGAGTTAAAAGTTGTGTGGCTTCGTGGCTCAACAAATAAAACATCTTTCTAATGTTGCAAACGTTACCAGGGCTCAAATCTCTGTAACAAAGGTTCCTTCGCTTCTTACATAGAGTAATACGGAGAAATAACGGCAAACAGTTGTAACCATTTAAAATTTAACACTAACCTTTAGCCGTGGCAAATCCTCGGGCTTGAAGTCGTTCGGTGAACAGCCACACCATTCCACGATATGCTTGTACTGACACCGGCAGCCCAGCTTCCGCTTCCAGTTTGTGAGACGAAGATTGCTGCGGACGAAGGTCTCGCAGTAAGGACCATTCCTTAACACGGTATGGAAGAAAGACTATATATATAAAAAAAGGAAATTGGAAATAAGAAACTTCAAACGCACATTTGACTTCGCTTCTGATGAGCTGTGGCTATAACTTACTTCCCCTTCTCCTCCCCCCTGACAAGTTGCGTTTCTTTCGGTCTCAGCAGGCCTAACAAAAAAAGGAGCCTTTGGAAAAAAGCAGTGAAGAGGAAAGAGGTTGGTATGAGCCTGAAGTTCACTGGAGTACTAGGTCTAAGCATAGCCTAGGATTAGGGGCTTTGGGAGGTTCAAGTCTCACAATTCCGGTGGATTATTACTTTCGGAGCTTATCCAAGTTTGAAAAATCAGTTTGAGAATCCTTGTCTATCGTGAAGCGTTACGCTCTTGGTCGAAAGTTTTCAACGCCATCTAAATTCAGCAACTTTTCAGTGTGGTTTATTAATCAAATGCATCCTCGGAACTGAACTAGTTTTTCTACTCCACCTCAAAGAATACTGGCTCTTTACAGCTTCTCCCTTCATCAGGGTTCCCTAACAATTTGCAGGTACCTATTTATATATAATCCTCAGTGGCGGATCCAGGGGGAGGGTCTGGGAGGTCCGGACCCCCCCTATCAAACCTGACGCTTACAACTTTGAGACACGATCGTATATCACTTTTAACTGGCTGATTTTTTTAATGAATCCAAATAAACGGTAAGCGGCCAAGGAATTATAACGTGCAACCGCGACTGGTGGGAGGGGGTGTGGGGGAGAAGTAATTTGCCTCAAAGAGTCCAACAGTCCTTTCTGAACCAAAGTTTGGACCCCCCAATCAAAAATTCCTGGATCCGCCTCTGATCCTGCGTGAAGAAAGGCGCAGATAGTTACATGTGTTGCCTAAGAACAGAACTGAGTAAACCTAGCAACGTTCTACGGCAAACCTTTTCCATCCCGAGTCCTGCGCACAAACTGCTAAACTGCCCCGTCTCCGACCAGAGAATTGTTTCCAACCGCAAAATCAGACTGGCACGGTTTTCAATTAAGTGTCGAAAAACCAAACCAAAGAAATCGCAACGACCAATCAGATCTAACGTACTATCACAATTATCCATACATGTACCATTAAACAATGGGAGATCAAAGTAAAAACAGACAAACTTCTCAAAGCGCGGTTTTAGTTTTGCATCTAATTGGTCGAGAGCGTGGCGGGAGATTCTGGACCAATCACAGGGCGAATTAAAAAAAACTAAAGCTACCCGGATTACTCTCGACACTCAATATTGTGAATCACTCTATCCACACACCTCTGCTGGAAGTAGCGAGTATCCATACATATGCTTGAGTCTCACTACTAGAGGATCCTTCGATGTTACTAAATAGTGGCAGAACTTTTTGTTCAAACCAATCCAGTCACTTCCACCATCGATCTCGATGTCAGTGGGCAGTGTTCTGTCGCCAAGTCGCCACATGTGCTCATCGCACTCAAAAAATGTCCTATCCAGGCCTTGCTTTTTAATGAACCTAAAAGTACAAATAATTATGCGTTTTGGACCAAGCACGAGCTTAAAATAGCTAGATATTGGCCTGGTTCTTTTTAGCTTTTCGTTTTCATGGACCGAGACGAAGTCGAGGCCCATAAAAACCCAAAATGAACGAGGCTAATATCCAGCCACCTTCACCGAACAAGCTTGGTCAATAAAAGATTTATTATGTCCATGAATCACTTGTTCATTTTCGAGCACTGGGAAAGAAAGGTAACTATGATGGTGCGTGTTCGTTTTTCATTTGACAAATTGCAAAATAACGTAATTTTAGAGGTTTACAATGATGATGAGTAGGCGTCATAAATTTCTTTGGAATTGAATTAGAAAGCTACTAAAACTTCCTTGATAATTTTTTCTCTGCACGAGATCAAAACAGGCAATTTGAACACAGGATTCGCTTATCTTGCCCACGGGCGCTGCTTGCCATATAATAAGTAAGAGAAATCATTCAAAGATAATTATAACTTCGTCATCATTATCATCTAGGTCATCTTTATGATCCGCAAGAAACGTAGGCTAACTTTAGATAAGAAAAACTCGGTTGTTGAATAGTGACAATTGACAAAATTAGCCTAATTTTTTTCTACCCATTCTTAATAACTTGAAGATAATATTCTGTGTTTTCCTTTGAGTTGAAGTAAATTATGCACGTTGCAAAGAACACTCAATAACTGTGAAGTTACCTGAGTGTTAAATTTCATTTTTTCCTAGGTGTAGGACAAATAAAAATTCTGAACGTTTCACATTAAACATGCCTGTGAGTCATGTGTCATCACAGGCGGCCCAAGCTCTCTTTGAGAACCACACAAGGAACACAATTTGCATATCGATCATGGACTTTTTAACGAACCGTAAGCAAAGGATAAAACTGAGCCGCGATTGCTTCTCGGAGTAGGAAGCTGTTCCTGCAGGGGTGCCACAGGGGACGAAATTGGGCCCCTGGCTGTTCCTTATCATGATAAATAATCTTTCTGTAGCAGACACAATTATTTGGAAATACGTTGATGACACCACTCTTGTCGAATCAGTATTGAAGAATGAGTCTAGCTACATGCAATTACGTGTAAATGAACTTGTAAGACAGTCAGAAGTTGATGGTTTCCAATTCAATGAGTCTAAATGTAAAGAACTGAGAATATCATTCTCCAGATCAGGTAGTCTGTTTGATCATATTACTATCAATGACAAGCAAATCGAAGTTGTTTCATCCGCAAGGTTGTTAGGAGTGATAGTCTCGGACAACCTCAGGTGGAACGCACATGTAGAATCTATATGCAAAAAGGCTGCGAAGCGTCTGTACTTCCTAAAACAGCTAAAGCGCGCTAAAGTTCCATCTGAGGATATGCTACTTTTCTATACAACATGTATACGCCCTGTATTAGAATATGCGTGCCCAGTTTTTCATCATTCTTTGCCGCAATATCTGTCCAATGAAATGGAAAGGTTGCAAAAACGCGCGTTGCGGATGATTCAACCTGACTTATCCTACGCTGAGGCTCTAGTAGCTCTTGACATTGCGTCACTGTACGAGAGGAGGGAGATCTTGTGTGATGCTCTATTTGATCAGATTGTAAGGGACGAAAACCACAAGCTCCATGATCTGCTGCCTCCACGCAACGAGTCCACCTATCGCACCCGCAGCCAGAGATACTTCAAGCTACCGATTTGTAAGACAACTAGGTTCAAAAACACATTTATCATGGCGAACAGTTTTAATTATTAGTAGCTATCTTAATTATTTGTATTTTGGTTTTTGATACTTCTCTTATTGTATTTTATTGTAGATTACACTTTGCGGCTTTTATTGTAGTTATCTTAGAGTAAGAGATAATTTATTCCCATTGTAAAGTAAGTCGTATTTCAGCCGGCCCGGGGGCTGCAATGATTTTACTTCCTAATAAAGCTATCTATCTATCTATAAGGATTTGTATGGGATTTTCTACAAGATATCCATAGAGATAGTTTAAAGTGAAAATATTAAATAAAAATGGCTTACTTACTCTATACGCGTGTTGTTTGCTTCTGGTGTCGTTATTTTACCGATTTTACTTGATTTAAGCGGGTTTTTTTTAATCCTCTTAAGAGAAAACCAGGATAAAAAAAAACCCTCTTAAATCAAGTGAAATCGGTAAAATAACGACACCAGGAGCAAACAACACTCGTATAGAGTAAGGTAAGCCATTTTTTATTTTAATTAATATTTTCACTTTAAACTATCTCTATGGATATCTTGTAGAAAATCTCATACAAATCCTTATAAATCGATATGCAAATTGTGTTCCTTGTGTGGTTTTCAAAGAGAGCTTGGGCCGCCTGTGGTGTCGTATCAATCAAGTTTGTCTGCCATATTCAGTATGAACCACTGTTAACTAGTACAGAATCTGACACTCTACACTGGTTTCCTGTACATAACTCACCACCTGATCATAATTCAAGTACAGTTCAAGTATAAGTTATAAGTTTTAATCCAGTCAGAAACCTGAAATTTTTTTTTTTTTGATACCTTTGGCTGCTTATTTCACACTTTCACTCCCATTATCTCATATTTAGTAATTCTCCCAACTGTCTGTCGCACAATTTTTGCAATGTTAGTTCCAAGAATTTGATGTTGGATCAAGTAATAATCCCCTCATTGATATTTTCCATTATTCTCATCACTTGTCTGCTTGATATTGTATTGATATGGTAAAGAGAAATTCTCTTTTGGTCACTCATGGGTGTTATTAAATCAGGAGATAAAACACAAACCTCAAGAGTTCCCTTCCATGGGGTTTTAAAAAATTGAAATCTCTGTTTGCTCTTAAAAATTCAACCAGGTTTGAGTTGTGCCTGAAAACCAAAGGAAAACTATAACTGATTACGCACAAAAACATTAATTAGTACTAAGTACATGTTTTTTATGTTTCAGGATACATATATCTTATTAACCAAGCGAAGAAAAACAGCTTGACGACCAGTAAATTTCTTCATTTATGAAGAAAATAGAAACAGCAACACAACAACGCGCCAATTCCGTTCTGCTTCGCATACTTCTGTCATGCACTCCCCGTAAATAAATATCCGCGAAATTCGCCCGCACTGAAATAACAGTTTGGCGTGTTGGATAATAAATAAATTATTAGACGTTTTGTGGTGTAGTATCGCTGAGTACTTTTACTTGTTATTTGTATTTTGACTCACCCTACGGGCTCGTCAAAATACAGCACAACTCGTAAAAATACTCAGCGATACTACACAACAAAACGTCTAATAGGATATATTTATTGCATTAATTAGTTTTATGTCACAATCCTCTTTTATTGGTTCAAAGACTTCCTATACCACTACTTTGAGCTCTTCCTTACAAAAACCTGCCAAAAAGACCCTGCAATGCCTTCTGTTTCAAACAGAGACATAAGTGCCAAGCCCCAAATACAAAATGAGTTTTTATCCTCAAGCAAATAAATCTCACTTTACAAGAAAGGATTTGCAACTAGTCTCTTCTCAAATTGGGGGTTCTGGCTCTTGAAATCTCCAACTGTATAATATTCAATGGAAGAGCTGTTTTGTGAAAGTGTGGCAAGTTTTAGAAAGAGCTTATAAGTATAATTAATTCTGCTTGTAATGTTTTGTGTGACATGTACTTTAGCAATGCAGCTACATTGTATATCGTACATGTACATCGTGTACAGTTCTTTCTGCTCATGGGAAATTCTAATCAGCACCCAGCTTGCACTTACTGTATTGGATAGTCAGATTCACTCAGGTTTATGAAAAAATCCCATTTCCAATCCTTTTTGGCTAACAAGTCCTCCATACATTTCAGCAACATTTGGAGAAGACTTGCTCCTCCCCAAATAGTTGCCATACTCCATGGGGCCACTGCAGCATTTGGAAAGGCACGGATCATCTTCAATACTTCTCTTCTTAGATAATCAGATCTCTAAACCGAAAAAAAAAAATTAAGGTTACAAGATTTCTTTTGGTACAAGACAAATATAAGGAAAAAAATACTCAATCCTAACTGGCTACCCATTGATTCTCTTAATCTGTATTGCTGAAGATACAAGGATGGCAAAAAATTGTTTTCCCATTTAAAACATATTTTTTTTTTTGCGACAAAATCCATATTTGATTCAGAAGTCATTGTTGACTGGAAACAAGAAAATAATCAACACAGGCATGGTAAAGCTAGGGGACTGAGGGGGGGCCTTC